AGAGAGGTGAGGGTCCGAATCCCTGCGGGGAGTTCATTCCAGAGGGCCGGAGCTGCCACAGAGAAAAAGAAAAAAAAGGCGGGGGGGGGAAGGCTTGCATAGGCTTTGGGAGGCTTTGTAGAGTGCTCCTGGGGGCTGGGGAGAGCAGAAATGAGAGAAAAATGGGCTGTTTTTTGCTCAATTCTCCCCCCCCCCAAGCCCCCAGGAGCACTCTATAAGCCTCCTAAAGGCTACGCATGTCCTTTTTTTTGACAAAAATAGGCCCGTTTTCACAAAAGACGGCCCATTTTCACAAAAGACGGCCCGTTTTTTTGCTCGTTTTTGGGCCTCCATCCCCCAGGAGCACTCTACAAGCCTCCTAAAGGCTATTCGTGCCTTTTAAAAAACAGACTTGTTTTCGCAAAAAAATGGGCTATTTTTGGGAGGCCTGCAGAGTGCAAAAACTTTTTTTTTTAATTTGCCTCTTCAAAATCTTGGTGCGTCTTATACTCCATAAAATACGGTGCCTCTTCAAAATCATGGTGCGCCTTATAGTCCGAAAAATACGGTGCCTGTATTGGTTCTATCAAACCTTGCTGCTGCTTGCAAGTTTATTATTATTTTATTATTTATGATTTTATTTTGCAGAGTTTGTCTGTTTCTCTCGAAGATGAAGATATTCATCCAGAGCCCGGCCGTTTCCTCCATCTACTGCGCCGAAGAAGCAGAGGCCATCCTCACCCGGGCCACGGAGCTGATGAACTTACTGAAAATGCCCAGCGTGGCTCAGTTCGTGCTAAGGCCGTCCTCCGAGGACTTAAGTCACCAGGAGACCCACCTCCCTCTGCTGCTGGCCATGAAGATGACCAGCCAACTTTTGGAAGGAGGAACCGGCTCGGTTCCTGGATGAAAAAACCCTCTGGGCCAACCTGAGGTCGCTTCCTGGTGATGGGTTAGAACTTCCCTGGTGCCTTCTCCATTTCTGAGGGCTTCTTGAGGTCCTACTTCACCGTTTCCTAGCACCCCGGGGTGTCTTTGCCGTTGATGGCAAATGTTCATGAGAACGTCTCACATCTCGGTTTATTAAAAACATTCATGGTCTACGTCTTCTTCTCTAGTTCTACTTGAGTTCAGCAAACGTCAGTGTCTTTCATGGAATGGTGACTCCAGCTTCTTCATCATTGTTCCAACTGACGCTTCCCGAGAGCACGAAGCAAACTCCTGGTCCCGACAAAACCCCCTTTTATTATTTGACTGTGAATTCTGCTCATTCACCTCCAGCAAAGTCTTTCAATGGTGGATTTACG